TGATGAATAAATCTTTCAAATAAACAACAAACTTAGTCTAAATTTGGGATTACAATTCATCATTAATTTCTTATTTCAATTTCAACTTTTTTTTTTTTATTGATCCCGAATTAACACTTTTTTAGTAAAGTCAACCTAATTAATCCAGTTCAGCTCTATTATACTTTTATAATTATTACGGAGAATAGTAGTAGTCTTATATCCTTCTTCTTCAATTCCATAAATTATTTTTCTAATCTTGTGCATTAAGATTTGTTTGAAAAAACGAGTTGTTGAAAAATCTTTTCAAAATCAACGATTTAAAAAAAAAAAAAAAGAAAAAAGAGGAAGATTCCATGCAAGTACTGCCCGGTGGGTAAGGAACCAAATCGGACCGAGGAATGGAACTCAACCAAATCCATATGGCTCGGTTCGGTTCGGTTCGGTTCGGTTCGGTTCCTTATTCAATAGGCAGCAGATCTGAAGCGCACGTCGTTGAAGTTTCAATCGTAAGTTCACTTCACAAGATTTCATCCGCATATTCCTCCACGAAGAAGCTATCAGCTTCCGCCATTTGAGATCTGCTTCCACTTCAGTGACGCGATCTTTAAGCTCAAGTATTTCTTACATTGCCTTTTCGTTTTCTCCTTGTATGACCAATTAATTCAGCTTCATTTCTGTTTCTATATATTATACCATCTGTTTGTATCATGAATCTGCCTAGGCCTTAGTGTTTCGCTGCGAGTTATAATTCCCCTGTGGTTTTTGGAGATTTGAGACTTATAAAATTGTAATGCTGATCTTGTTTAAGCAATGAATTTTGATGATTGAAGCTCTAGGAATTTTTCCAGTTTTACGATTTGGTTTATGTTTCTACCATATAAGCGATTTGAAGATATTCGATCAGGTTGTAATAGGAAATGTTGTTTCTGTTGGCAGAAGGAGATATATCGAGTCTAATGGCTGTGAGGAGACCTGGAGTCATTGCTTTATTCGATGTTGATGGGACTCTAACAGCTCCCAGAAAGGTAAAGAAAAATATGTTTCCTGATGTTAGTTGATCTGTTGGATGATGAATGTTATCGTATCAGTATTCAGTCATCGTTATATGATACTTTGTTCCATATTGTTTGTGTGGAGTATCTTTTTGAAGGAAAATTTTTGTTAAATTTCAGGGTGCTACTCCACAGATGTTCAAATTTATGGAAGAGCTCCGAAAGGTATCGGATTTACTGCAATGAAAAGAAGCATCTATGCAGAACATTTTTCTTCTTTCTTCTTTTTTATTTTCTCCCTGTAAGCTCGAAATTTATTGAAGTTTTCTCATCCTTTATAAATACTACAGGTTGTTACAGTTGGTGTTGTGGGAGGATCTGACCTTTCAAAGATCTCAGAACAGCTTGGAAATTCAGGCAAGTTTTTAATGGACTTCGATTCTTTTCTTTCATGGCAAGTCACTTGGAGCAACTGATTTATTGTGTGCCAACTGTCAAACGAAACAATGTGTTCAGTATTTGTCGCTTAGAAATTTTATATATGCACTCATTTATCTTGTTCCTTGATTATGATGTTCTGTCTATGGTCTTTGCTTGATTTGAAATATTGGTAATCTTTCTCATTTTTTGTCTGCTCTTCCAAGTTTTCGTTTTTCTGATTTTTTTTTTTCATAAGCTTGTGCAGAGCATTAAATAGAGAATGTTTGTGATTGTAATGTAATCTAATAATCTATGCTTGTTATGTAGTTATTAATGACTATGATTATGTGTTCTCTGAGAATGGACTTGTGGCACATAAAGATGGGAAGCTCATTGGCACCCAGGTACTGGTTGCATCTCGATCTAGATTTTATACAATTAGCTAGATGTCTGATGGGTGATGATGGCCTTTTAATGTTACTCTGATGTTTAATATAACTGTACATGTGTGTATGAATTTGTGTATTTTTTTGGGACCAAGTGATCTCAAGAGCATAAATCCGTCAATTGTTACCTCATTTCAATAGATATCTACTTTCTGATAAATCCAATCATGCTATTTGACCTCTCATTGAACAAGAAGGATTGGCTGAATTACAGTTTTTGATAAGAAAAACCATGGTTAGGAATTAATTAAGTAAATATTTTCGTTATATTATATTTCTATATGAAGGTTTCCTGATTTTCAAAGCCATTGTTTACTTAGATGCTTCCTCTTCATTCCTTCATGGTAGTTCAATGATCTCACATTAAATGAATGAAGAAAAACATGTCTCAGGTGAAAGAACGGAAAACTTATGAATGACAACATTTTTCTTTTAAGATTTATAATGCCGCAGGTGCTGATTTACTCTATTTGAAACTGCAGTTCTTTGATTACTTCCCTGCTTATTTGAGCTTGAGCAACTTTCATTTGAAACCCTTACAATATATTCTTATGTTACCTTATTTTCTGTACTTGATCCATTTTTACGTGATTGTATGTTCCTTTCCATCTGTGCAGAGCTTGAAATCTCATCTTGGAGAAGAAAATCTCAAGGTAATATACAACTTATTATTTTTCCCACTGTTCCATTTATTTATGAACCATTCTCGGGGTAACCAGGGCATCTCTTGACTGGGACAAAAGGAATGATCACTTACAGGAAGTCTGCATGTTTGAGGCCATTAGATTAGTACCTTTGTGCACAATTACCTGTTCTCATATGTCACAACCGATCATTGATTGAACTTATTGTGAAATTTCGAGAGATTTAGCATGTCCTCATAAAGTTAAATGAAATGTTGCATATGCTATTGATAGGCCACTAAATAAGGTTCAACTATTCTAGAAAGGGGGAAAGCAGGGTAGAAAGGGAGTTAGGAAGATGAAAGAAGCTGTGCATGTGGAGTGGGAGAGTTTGTCTGAAGAAATCACTAAAGTAATAATAGTGGCAGAGATGGTGGGTAGTGAGAGTGAGAGTCAGTAGGATTGTCGTTGAAGGTAAGGAAAAAATGATTAGAAAGTAGTTGGAAGCTAGATATTGCACGGGAATTGAGCTGCAAGGTACATTTGTCAAAGTCTCATGGTCAGTTTATCCCATGCGAATATAAGTATTCGTTATCCTAACAAAAAAAAAAAGGTAATAACATCAAACGTTTGAAAAGATAATTACCTTGTGATTCAATGTAATGAGAAATCCATAAACTTCGCATCCTCTTTGTTCTCATGAAAAGTAGCTGATAGAGCATTGGTATTCTGAACTGTTCTAATGCCAAAAAATGCAGAATCTTATCAACTTTACGCTTCATTATATTGCTGACTTGGATATCCCTATAAAAAGGTTAGTGGGCTGGAGCCTTGAAATTTTTTCTTGTGTATCTGATTTCAGATGATATATTTCAGATTGTTTATTTTCTTGTATCTTTAGGGGAACATTCATAGAGTTCCGAAATGGAATGCTTAATGTCTCACCAATTGGGCGAAACTGCAGCCAAGAAGAAAGAGATGAATTTGAGAAGTATGATAAGGTGAACACTAATCCCAATTTTTCGATAGTCGTGTCAGCATCTCTGGTTTTAACTCGCATTTTTATTTTGAGGACATGAGTTGAGATATATCTTGCAATCTACATTCAGGTCCAGAATATACGCCCTAAAATGGTTTCTATCCTTAGGGAGAAATTTGCACATCTGAATTTGACATTCTCCATAGGAGGGCAAATAAGCTTTGATGTAAGTAAAGTTTAATTTTAGCATTATCATTGTAAATAAGTAAACAGCACGACTGATATCTATTTCGACCATGCTAATTATCAAATACAGGTCTTTCCTCAAGGTTGGGACAAGACATATTGCTTGAGGTATCTTGAAGACTTTCAAGAAATCCACTTCTTTGGCGATAAAACTTACAAGGTTATTGTTAGAATTTTTGTCGACAACTTTCTTCCAGCTTAGTTTTGATTGGTTTTTCCTTCTTTGATGTTTGGTTGACATCTCTTCAGTGTCTTGTGACTCGTGTTCATATTTGATATTATTGCATGCCCGAATGCTTATGAGTTGATTCAAATTGACTGGAAAATGTTGTCTTTTCAGTGCTCCAACTGAATTTTTTATTTTGGTATTAAATACTGACATAATCCTGTTGCATTTGTTTTTGAACAGGGAGGAAATGATCATGAAATTTATGAATCTGAACGAACTATAGGCCACAAAGGTCTGCTCCCTTCAGTATTACTAGCAAATTTGCTTCTGTTTGTTTATTCCTTTTTCCTTTTCTTTTTGTTACTTGTATATTCCTAAATCAGGGTGTTTTTTTTTTTTTTTTTTTTTTTTTTTTTTTTTTTTTTTTTTTTTTTTTTTTTTTTTCC